AAGAAAAATTTCTAAAATCGGGCTCTGTTAAGTTGCAGCAGCAAATGTTAGATACATTTCGATGTAAACCCGAGATCTGTATCATTTAATCTGGAGGAAAATCTGGGATGCATGGAGACCTACTCTTGGATCCTTGATATAGGAATAACTCTTGAAGAACTCAATATTTCGGGCTGAAATTTTAATTATAAGGTTTTTAGGTCTGCACGTGTATATCCTGAAATTTCCAATCAGATCGATTGTTCTGGGACGAAAATAGATTTTTGACAACAGAGGGGCTTTAACGTCTGCAAAGCTCGTACCATCAGTGTTCAATGAGTTTTGCTAAAAAAATGTAATAGAAAAAAAGTTACGGGTCAGAAGTTTTCAGTGAATCTCGCTATTCATTAAGTGAAATATAAAGGACATCAAATTCTGAAAAATGTTTCAGAAGAAACAATTATATTTTAGTAAAATGTATCTTAAGAAAATCGATATAAAATTAGATAATGAAGAATTGATATATAAGGAAATAGTGTGCATTCACTATTGAAAAAATTTCTATTATATTCATAATTTAGTATAAAAAATTTTAACTTATTTTGATAACGCCATGATGAGATATCTCCGCATCAGTGTTAGAACTAAAATTACGCATATTGTGGATCTTTAAACTTATATAAGATCAAATAAACCAGTGCTATAAAAGTTCAATGATCATAATAGCTGATTACTTTTACGAGACAAAAAGATCAACATAGGTAAAAATAATACTATAAAAGTTGTCGTTTATTACTTTTCAGATATTTATTATTTCGTGAAGAATTTTTTTTCTGGTGAATATGGCTACAGGAGGTGGAGAAGAAGCGACAGCACAGCGTATTTTACGTATTACAGATATAGCCCACGAGCCTCTTCGATTGATCGCGCCCATTGGTGGCTACGAAGAAATGCCAATTGTTACGCTTGAAAAAGCTGTCGAACCGCTTGTTCCTGTTCTACCAGCTGTTCAAAGTTATGCTTATGTTGCCAAACAAATGTGTGAGGATCCTGCCGATGGATTGACACAAGATGAATCCGCCTCAATTATGTTATACACGATGGGATGGGAACCACTAGATAAATGCCTTTATTTTGTTTTGAATGATACATTACGGTCATCTGAACGGCAACAAAAGCTTAAACCATGGTATTTATTTATGAGACTGTTTCTAAGCGCACTTTTTCGTCTTCCATCACTTACAAAAACTGCATACAGAGGCGTTAAATTAGATTTGAGCAAGCGTTACATTGAAGGAAAAACAATCGTTTGGTGGGGTTTCTCTTCTTGTACAACGGTTGTTAATGTTCTGAATTCGGATCAATTTTTGGGAACAAAAGGTGATCGTTCATTGTTTACCTTACATTGTCTATCGGCTAAAGATATTCGTAAACATTCGTATTATCCAGCTGAAGATGAAGTACTTCTGATGGCTGCTACACAATTCAAAGTAATTGGTTGTCTTAATCAAGGTGATCTTCATATTATCCAATTGGAAGAGACTCGTCCACCATATCCACTTTTAATATCAGTGCCAATTGTTGCTCCACTACCGATCAATCCAACTTCCACAGGTGAGTGAAAATAAAAACAAAAGAATGTTCTACTTTATAAATAATACTTCCGGTTTCGATATCGCGAAATAAATCACGAATTATATCCTTCAATTAATGTACGTATCATAAAATCTGAATACACACAACCAATTTACAATTAATCTTAAAATCTGGTTCGAAATCAGCTTAAAATTTATTCAGTTTAAAGGATCAGCAAAGGAGTTAATCCTATATGGCAATATTCGCTTGAGTTTAATGGAATTTTCGATTTTGCAAATATTTTTCAACAAAAAAAATATAATCGACTTTTTCTTACATAGTTTAAGCAACCAATTAAGACCCTGATCAGTTTCAATTACTTTTTGCTTCATCTATTAATATCTAGTTTCTTTCGTGAAATCTAAAGAAGTGATTCAAGTTGATTTGTTTTCTAAATCCACAAGTATCACTGGAAATATTTTCTTCAGGAGATGCTTTCTTCTCCTATACTACCGGCCCAAAGAATCATAGATATTGGGTAGATGTAATGATAATTTTTCCTACAGTTAGAAATCCACAAAAATACTCTTGTTTTTGAACAACTTCTAAAGGATTTGGATGAAGTTAGAGTAAGAGTGAAAAGAAGATTTGACACCTTCATCTCAAACACTCATATTCGCACCAATCTCTACTTTGATTAAGCTACTAAATAAAAAAAAGGTATATTAAACTTTATCCATAATGTCACCAAAAATCTCTCAAGAAATGAATAGTTGTTTTGAATTGTAGAAGCCTCGATAACGACTGCTGTTGTAACAACCGAAGCAAAAAAACAGACACAGTCCAGCAAATCTCAAGTAATTCTAACAATTTCTGAGTGGCTTTTCTTTGTTCATATCTATCTTTGTGTTTTTCGTAGAAGGATACAACTGCAGTAGCCGCAACTGCCAGTGCCATTAACGTTGGTACCGGCTCCATCATGAAACAAGTCAGAAAAAATCATTATAGAAAATGGATATTCATCAAATATCTTGTATCTTTAGATATCTACCATGGAAATCAAAGCGTCGCCAAATAAAGGTGGGATTTTGTTGATTATCGTCTTGACAATGAGGCTTACAAATAGTGGTGAAAGTTATGTAATTCTAATCACTCTTATCCTCCGGACACATAGAGCACACAGAAAACCTTAGATCATGTGCCTTCTTGAAATTTAGTGTGTATGAAGTTACTTCATTTTTGAGAGAAATTTCAATTTTTAATCGTGGACAGGAAGTATATATCCTTTAGGATGGATGTTAAGGTAGATATGCAGCTATCTAACACCTCCACACTCACGTCCGATTATCATAAGATCATACATGTGTTCTTTGACAATTATAAATTCATATTTTTTCCATGTGTTTTATTTTACATTTATAATATCTGTTATAATATGTACAATAGTATAGCAAACTGTTCTTAAAAGTAATCCATTTTTTATAAACAGTCTTACAGGTATGAAGTTTTAAATTAAGGAATGTAAAATGTAATTAACAGTGATATTCTTTTTTCACATAAATTACGATATATTACTCTCACTAAAAACTAACAGTCAAATTTCCTACTCATAGAAAAGCTGATTCAAGATCTATTTGAGTTTTATACTTCCTAACATTTTATGTCCCACAGTCTCTCCAATTCAAAAACGAGAAA